CAGTGTGGCTGTTGAAAAAAGCTCTTTGTGAGCTACTGTGAAGGGATAATTATGTCATTGTAGAATTAACAGTAAACGCTTTATCATTTGCTATGATTTTCATGCAGAGTTCCTCCAGTGGTTTTGCTCCATGGAACCAATGACATCATAGTTCCCGTGGAATCATCAGTGAAGTTCTCGGAGCTCCTCACTGCCCTTTCCATCAGGATGTCTCTCTATCTAATACCTAAAATGAACCACACTGAGATGGTCACTGACCTTATGGCTCCAGACAGGCACTTTTACCACACTGTTTATGGCTGTATTAAACAGGAGTACAGTAAATTTCAAGGTTATGTTGATTAATATTTTTCATTCAATTCAGTATTAATTTCATTTTCCAGTATACCAGACAGTCATTATTTGTTCTTTATGATTTTACTGAAAGTTTACATTTAAGTTCTAATGATTTGTTTTCTTCTGAAATGTTTAATTTTTGATCAAAAATGTGTTCAATAACCCATTATACAAGATAGCAAGGTGAAAGAAAACATAATATTATCTCTGTGCTTGTTATCGGTTAAGAAATTCTGTTAATGTTCAATGAAATGTAAAAAAGAAGAGATTGTTCCAATTAAGAATATACAACATATTTTCGTGTTTGAAATGTAATATGGATGGAGAAATTCTTATTTTGCATTTTTATAACATGTGTAAATTATTCCATAATATATTTATTTAAACCATACATAAATGTTTCTTTTTGTGTCCTAATTACAGAATTAGTCACTTGGCTATTGATGTTCTTTTGTTTGTTACATATTCACAGTTCATACCATATATTACATTAAATAACATAAGCTTCAGCTGTGCATGCTATAGAAATATTATTGATTTATGTTTGCTTTTGTCATTATTAGAATTAGGGATGCACCGATACCGATACTGGTATATAAAAATATCGGTATCGGTACTCGGTATCGGCAAGTACCAAAAATAAACGTATCGGTATCGGGCGAGTACTGGAAAAAGTGGTATCGGTGCATCCCTAATTAGAATAAATGTTAATACCAAGAACACAATAATGTTAATATTTGGGTGTTGACATTGAACCATTGAATATTCGCCTCATAAGTAAACAGCTCCTTTATGTTGGGGGCATATGCTCAAAAAAACATTTATTTTAGGAATATAATTCAGTTAAAATGGACAAAATTATAGCACACAAAGCACAGGTATGATCTATTATTGAGAAACGTATTAAATATACATGCATAATAAGTCAATACATTTATATATATTCACTGGACTGAAACTGTAGCTAACATCCACATCAGCGTAATGTAAAATTGGCATTCCTTTCTTCTTTCACTGCTGTGGCAGTCAAGTACATTAAACACTCAAACTATAAATACTGCCAGATTGACTTTCGATTATTATTACCTTGCTGACCAGAGACAAAAACGATCCTCCAAATGAAACGGGCAACTGCATCGTAATGACCAGCAGGTGTCGCTGTTTCCCGTGTAATCCAAGTACTACAGCGAGCGCTGTGAGGCAGCGTCTCCCACACCGCTGAGATGAAGCTGGAGCTGGGACGAGCTCGAGCCTGTGTTTGGAATGTCGAGGATTAAATATGGCCACTAGCTAGCTGATCTAACAGAACCAGAATCCGCTTCAGAAAGCTCTGGCATCACCCGTGAAAAATGGCTGGGAAGAGCGCAGGAGTATCTCTTTAGAGCGGTTCTCACTGAAGCTTGAACACATCGGCTGGTCTGGTGAGTTCTCATGGATTTGCGGATACATTGGAGACATGCAAAACACATAGCTTCCTTCCTTCAAAATACAGCTCCCTTTCCCCGTTTTTACGTCTCTTTAGAAATGTCAAGATGTTATTCTGTTTATATAAATGATATTCTATGCAGTCCAGCTTTTGTGAAAATGCAACCCACAGCTCGGCATGTATTGGTTGTGTAGCCGGGGCTAGCTGTGGCGAGGACTCCGCTAGCCTGTTAGCTGCAGGCGAATAATCATTGATGGGCAGACAATTCACAAATACGATCCTTTATTAGCATAGACCTCGAGTTAATCATATGCGTGATTATTGTTACTTATTTTGAGGTTATTTAGGCGATGTCTGGTGAGCTGTAATTGTCTTGTAAGCTCGCACTGTCACTGAAGATATCGCCTAATCCACGACTGTATTTAATTTATTTGTGGTTCCTGTCAGTTGACAAACATGTGAATATAATATAATATAATATAATTATTCCGAGTAGTCTGTTTTATGTGTTGCTGTTCTCTTCGCTCGTGTTATTTCCATTTCCTATTCTTATTTTACATGGTCATTCCTTCTATTTGTGTCGCTTTATTCTAATACATAGGTTGTATGTTTTATAAATTGCGTATATTGTGTATAATGTAGAGGTTTCTTACCTTTCTTTGTTTATTATATGCGATAAACTCAGTGTTGACTGTCTGGCTGCTAATGTACACACATTTCTCACACTGAATCAGATTTTTATTTGTCTGTCTATCTCTCTTCTTTCATTGAAGTGCAGTTGTAATAGATATGATATGACTGAAATTGTGAATATGATTTATTTCTGTTTATATGTCTATTTATCTATCTGTCTACCTCCCTACAGTATCTATGACTCTCTAGACATTCAGAAAAAAACACTTGACATGGACTTTCATTAAGGCTGAAACTAATCCCAGTAATGTCATAAGTTGTGATATAAAGGCTGTGGTGATTGATTTGCGACACAGTGTGATGGTGAAGTGCTGGGCAGCTGCGTCAGGTGAGAGGTCATGGACTCATGAACAGCTGTGTGTGGCCTCCACACCTCCAGGCTGCTCATTTATATGCCATTTAATTTGTGTTGTGTGTTTTGGTGAGGGTATGCAGAGCTATGAATAAGATTAGAGATGGGCTGTGATTGTGGTTTTATTGTATAAACAACCCACCCGTTTGTATTGTGCAAGTCATGGAACCTGTGCTTTTATTCCAGAGCCAGCATAATATTGGCTTGCGGCCATATCAGTCACACATGACCTAAATCGTACCTGCTTAGAGGCTATAAACCTGTTTTTCATTTGATCTTTCCAATTAAATCTTGCTTGACTTATATTTGTTGTAGGTGACGCTCTTTTGCAAACCTGTGATTTTTTTCTCCCCCTTTTATGTGTGTATCACAGTTCTGTTCATGTGTTAATTACCACATTGTCACATACCACCACATTTCAAATTTAGCCTAGATCATTTAGGAAGTATGGCTGTAATGTAAAAAAAATGTGGCTGCTGAAGTGTATGTGAAATTATGGGCGTACGTTGCTTGATAGATGTCTCGTGCAGTGGACTTCACAGGGTATTTGACCATCTTGAGTGAGATTAGCAGTGAGCAATAATGTTCAGTTTGGCGTAGGAAGCAATTGTACAGCGATATATCGCTTTACAGGAAGTGGAAAGGGAAATTTACTCACCACATACTCAGTGCTAGAGGAATTTTGGCTAAAATGAACACAGTTGAAAGGAGTTGATGCTGATGGAATTTTTATTCTACCTAATTAACCTCAGGTGCAGTTTCTGTGCAGTTGTGTTCAAGTATAAAACACATTTGATACAACAGATACAATGCAGTTAATATGATCATGGGTCTCAAAACAAAAAGAACCATTCAGGTCCACATTAATCCAGATAAATTTGAAAAAGCATATTTTTCCACTACATTTTGGCCTTTTGTCCAAACTGAGACAGTGTTTTGTCAAAAATTAAAAAATTTGAAAACCGTTGTAGTGTGTACTCTGAAAATGGAGGCATTTGAAAAAGATGACACATCTTTAGTCATGTGATGCATATTGTATATATGTATTGCTATTTGCTTGAAGATTATTTAAGATGAATGTTACTTTTTGAGCAACCTTCATAAGATGACAGAATGTACTCTCGCAATTACTTCCCTGCAGCAAAAGAGGATGACATTTGCATTTTAGACCATACATGGAATGTTTATATGAATGTTTTGATTTTGTAAATGTGGACGTAGCCTTATTTTCTTATTAAACATGGCAAAAACATTTATTACAAAATGTAGAGACCTCCAGTATGACTAGACTAAGCAGATTCATTTGAATATTTAATAAGATATTTTTGATAGTAATAGACCGGAACTTATTCAATACTTTGTTTCTGTATGTGTATACTAAAACATTGGGGGAAATTGTAAATGAGAGTCTTTTTGTCATGTGCTCAGTGTATAAAGAGCGGTGAATCAGCACACAGCATAGGTCACACATTACACATGTGATATTTTACACAATCCTTCAAGATATTAGTGTTGCCCAAATGAGGTTGTTGGAAACATGACTCGCACTATATGCAAGGAATTTAGCTGAAGTATTTTCTCTCATGATTCAGTGCCAGCAAAAACAAGTCACTGGTCAAGCATCGACTGTGTTTTTTGAGGAAAGATTCTCTTAATTGATGACAGTCTGAGCTGGTTTTGATCTTTATTTCTTCAGTCTGTTACTCGGTGCTTTGCTGCAATCAGGGTTTCTGTTTGTGGCATTGTTGTTTTATCTATTTGAAAATACCCTTTAAGTGTGATTCGAATCTTCAGTGGTGTCTCATGTTTGTACTGGATTGTAGATGTTGGATAGTCTGTTTCGAGTGGTTCAGGTTATTTTGTCGGTGTTATTTCATTCTTCGGTACACAGTGTGTATATCTTCTGAATCAGATGACTGACTTCCCCTTTTCAAGATATCCAGAGCTCTCTCTTATGTAGAGACTAGAGAGTTATTACCCTGATCTGTTGATCGAATTTATTTTTTATTTTTTCAGTGTGATCATTTTATAACCGGCCATCTGCTCTTTAAATGTTATCGATGGATCCCCCTGTACTGCCGATTTGGTATCTCCTGGTATGACACTGGTCACCTCCCCATGATGAAGCCACGTGATAGAGCTGGTGACAGGAAGGATCAGCTGTGCCAGTCCCTGCAGGCTGCTTGGCTCTCTGGTGCACAGGTCTCCTGGGCAGTGCCAGCGAAGAGCGTAAATCGGCGCTCGCTCCCACACCGTCCTATAATGCTCTGCCTTCTCTCTTTATCCTCATCGGCACGGCACAGATTAACAACGATTATTTTCTCAGCAATCCTTGGATCGAAATTGCGTCGTAACAACGAGGGATGCTTGCAGAGCACAGGGAGAACAGTAGGTATGGAAAAAAACATGTTTGATCAGCGTGTCTCCATAGTGATTAGGCGTTTGTTTACAGTTTGGAGCCGTGTGTCACAGATTTATTTGCTGCAGTGGTGGTCTTGAAATGGCTTCTTACTTTCTGCTGAGGATCCTGGCAATCACACATTTTTGGATTCCACATGAGATTCTTGTATGCGCTGTCATAGTTTTTATATAATTAAAGGCTGAGGAAGGTAAAACAGATGAGTAGGCAAATGACAGATGGTGAAATGATGGTGCCGTTCTTCCCGAAGGAACGATGATGTGGAGCAACAAGAGGTTGCTGTGAGTTTCAGATGTAAGAAAGGGTTATATCTCATTTTTTGCATCTGGCATTGTGGGTGTCAGTGATTTCTTCACTGCTTCATCCTGGGAGTCATCCTCTTTTCTGGGAATTGTAAATTTTTTTTGAGACACCTGGTTTCTGGCTGCTTGTTGCGAATCAAGTCAGGACATGTTTGAAACCAAAGGCTTCATTAGACTCTGACTCATTCAACACTGTGATTTACACCGAAAGGGCTCTTGATTTCAAGAGGTAGATGTGGATTTGAGTGTGGGGGAACTAGTAATGTTGGTTAATATTTTGGATCATGCCACTTCAGCTTGTTGCTGTTCACAGCCATGACATCACCAGTTTATGTGTGCTCCTCCCCAGAGTTAAACAGTGATTTTTTTTTGGCTGTGGAGAAGATTTCAGTTAAATGTGGGCTTTGCAGAACAAAGTTACAGTGTCTTTGTTCAGGTATAAAATGACCTACAGTGGTTTCAGAGTTGAGATAAGTAGTAATTTGTTAATCATTAGGTTGGAGTTTAAATGCTAATTACTGTTACCTTGCCTGTAGTGTTGTCACGGTACCAAAATTTCAGTATTCGGTACCGATACCAGTGAAAATCCACGGTTCTCGGTACCAATTTCGGTACCAAAGCAAAACACAAAAACATGCTAATTGAACATTTTTATTAATAACGTTAAACAAAAATTAAATGTACAAAACCAATGCCATTCTTTATACTTATTTAAAATAGTTTCAAGTTTTTCCACAAGTAATAAAAGTATGAAAAAAGTAAACAAGTTTCACCCAAAAGTTTAGTCATAGTTCTGCTGCCGCTGAAAAATATGGAAATAATGTAGTTTTGTGATTGCGCATAAGTGCAGTGTCCCGTGAGAGTAACTCTACCGCTGAGCTAACACTGGTGTGAATGCATGTGGCTTTGTACATTATATTGAGACGGAGGGAGGCGCCAGAACTGCAGCTGATAGAATGTGCTAGCAGATACAACGATATTTCTTCAAAAGCATATCGTGGAAACATTCAAAAATCGTCATATCGCACACCCCTAACTACCAAGTATAATCAATCTCACACACACAAACAAGCACATCATTATATTAGCGTTAGCCGCGCTTATGCTAACGATTAACTACGTATATGCTAACGGCGATGTTTATTTCAATCCGAAATTCAAATTAAAATATGGAATAATATTCCCAACAGAACAGAAGCTCTAAATATTAAAAATGTAGTTGAAACTTACCTGCTTGAACTTGATCGGGGTGTTTTGTTAGTTTGATGCGTTTCCTCCTCTTGAGATCTTCACTGCTTTTATGAAGAGGTTGCCAGGTTTCCACAACAAAACCCGCCCAATCGCGTTTCGAGGGGGTCCCCGTTAAAAATCGCGTTCCGGGGATAAAATACGCGTGTTTTGGCGGGGTTCCCCTGGTAATTCGCATTCCAGGGGCTAAATATCACGTTAATGGGGTCGTTTTTCAACCCGCGGCAACAGTGTTAAAGCAGCCCAATTCCGCGGGAAACCGCAGACTTGGCAACACTGGAAGAGGATAGCTTCCTGATAGCGCATCAAGAACCGGGTTGACCGGGTACTCGGTACCACCGGTACTTAAGAAAACCTGGTACCGTAACGTTTTCATTTTTTTAGTACCGGCTTGGTACCGAAATACCGGGTCTTTTGACAACACTACTTGCCTGCATGATGGCATCTGTGGTGAAATGAATTTCACAGTAGACTTTTACTATACTTCAGTTAGAAAAAAAAAACAGCTTTGCAACTTTATTCTCAGTCAACTTTTGCTTTTGTACTGATTTTGTTGAGTGTTGCATCTCTTATTGTATTGATATTCTTCATGTGTGGTGCGCTGTACAGTATAACCTCTCAGTTTGCACTTGTATTACCGTTCTTGTTGATTCTTGAGGTTTAGTCGTAGTGCTTGACTTGAATTGCGCAAGTGTTAATAAACAAAATATTTGAGGGTGTATTATGCACTTTCTTGTAAGTTGCATTAGGTCAAAAATATCTTACAAGAACTTAAATGTAAATGTGGTAATTAGTTGTTAATGGTAAATCTGTTATGAAATGGCAATTTCCACAACCTGTAATAGTACACTTTAAAAAGGTGGTGGTGTTGATGATGATGAAAGAAATTCATACTTTATTAATTGAATAAGGGCTGGGCAAAAAAATCGAATGCGATTTTCATGCGAATCTCGTCAGTAAAGCCGCTTCTGGTGATTGGTAGTAAATCTCCAGCACGTGCTTTCAGATGGAGCGGCATTTACTACACAGAGCCGTAGATCACTGACAAGCTACACAAAATCGCGTTCAAAATCGCAGGCGATGAAAATCGCATTCGATTTTTTGCGCGGCCCTAAATTGAATTAACCAAAAGTGACTGTAAAGTCATTTATAATGTAACACATTATTTCTATTTTATTTGAATAAATGCTGTTCTTTTAAACTTTCTGTTCATCAAATAATCTTTTACCACAGTTTCCACAACAGCGCAACTGTTTTCAACATTGATAATAAGAAATATTTCTTGAGCAGCAAATCAATATACTTAGAATGATTTCTAGAATAATGACTGTTGCTTTGCCATCACAGGATGTATACTAAATTATTTTAAATTGTATTAAAGGCACAATATGTAAGATATTTTTATTAAAATATCCAAAAACCACGAACAATTTTATATATTTTGCTGACTTGTGTACTTACATTATCCCAAATGTTTCGAAGAATGTTTAAATCCAGAGAAATAAGCAATTTTAACTAGTGACACGGACCATGTCTATAGTGTCATTGTGTCACCTGCCAATGACGTCATAACCCCTCGATTTCCAGTTTTGTTTTTTAGAAAACATGGAAACACCAAAGATGCTTTAATATGACTTTGGCATAATAAAAGCTCCGCTGCTTTCGAGCCATGTGTCGTGCTCGTTCAGCGGCCTCGTTTCGCTTTGACGGCTTTCCGCCTCACTCTGCTTCATACTACGGCGTTAATAAATCTTTAATACATTAGCTCATCCATGAACATGATTTCTGCCTGAGTCCCGTCGGATTGCTTCGGCTGTGGGGATGAAGACGACAACTCCCATGATTCCACACTCAGTCACGGCGTCATCAAACTACGCCTTTGTTTTTTTGTTTGTTTTGAATACGCGCCCTCTAGTGGCAAAAAATTACATATTGTGCCTTTAATATTTCACAATATTTCTGTTTTTGCTGTGTTTTGCTCAGCTAAATGCTGAAAGATACTTTGAAATCTCATTTATAAACATTTAAATTAGACATTTGGACTAGCTTTTTGTAAACAGTCTTGTGGGATTTGCTCTTTGCTACATTTATGTTGTTTAATCAGTTACCTCATAGAATGGCTACTCATAAATAGAATTAATCAGTTTATTGTTGTTGTGTAAACATTAATTAATGGTGAATTACATTTTAAAGTTGTAGCTGCTGGCACATTTGAAATGGAAAAAACAATAACAAATCCAAGTGGCCGTTGACTGAATATTGTAGGAACGAGGTTTATGTGTGCTCAGGAATCCAGTAGGCTGTTTCGTATCGAGACACTCTCACTTGTTGTTGACTTGTAGCCTGTAGTCAGTGAGAAAAGTTCACTCTCGCTTCGGCATTTCCATCATTTCCAGCATAACAGTGACAGAGATGTGAGGGTTTTGTGTTTACGTCACCCAGTATTCCCAAGAGTCTTTGAAAGGCTTTTGAGAAAGCTGAAGCTGTGCTTTTTTTCTTCTTCTTCTCCGGACAGTCCTTTGGAGCTTACTTTGCTTTCTCAGACAGTCATTGGAGCTGGCAGCCCTCTAAGAAATGCTATGAAAGACTTAAAGCGTAAAAGGTTTAGCCACATTTTACTGAAGATTTCATGTCCCAGCAACCTTACTCCCCACCGATTTACATCAATTCTGGCTCTGTATGTCCCAAGGCAGGATTATTCATTGAGGAAGGACAAATAGGACTAAAGGACTAAACTTTTATTTATTTTTTTGTTTTTTCATTTTTGAAACACCTGTTAAACTAATTATAATTCGAGTTACAACCACTGTCTGAACACAAAGGCATTTTTTGATTATTTTAATTAAAACATTAGCGGTTCTCACAAGCTACTTCTTTTTTTGGTGAAGATTTTTATTATAATTTTTTGCCTTTCTGAGTTTACTTCCTACAGTATTTTATTCTGCTGTGTGTAACAGATGAATTCTCAATTTGAATAAAATAAAAAAATATATATATATCGCTCTCTCCTTTAAATATATATATATATATATATATTCTGCATATTTTCTCTAATTTTTGTTGTTACATACAAGACAGGAAAATAAAATAGTGAAAGAAATAAACTCAATTATAAACATCTGATACCATTGACAAATTCTGGTATTAACCATTGAAGCACATAAATGTTTTTAAATTTGGCACAAATTGCTTACACACACATACTTAATTGGTAAATTTAATGAATGAGAATGATTATTGCTCACAATTCATAAAAGCGTTCTAGGCCCATCCATCTCAATACAATAAATGATTTAAGTTATAAATGAAATATCTTTCCATGCGACCTATTGCATAATGTTATTTTTAGTAATAATGCGTTTATGCCTCTGGCTGTTACCATGTTTAGGTTATAATATCACTGATGTAAATTTGGGTTAAGAT